AAAGGCCACTTAAGTCTGGCATAAAATAATAAAAGATCAAGATAAGAAAACTGATATGATAATCTATTGTATGAACAGTCTTATCAATCTGTTAATAATAAGATTTATCAATAAACTATCAGAATGATACCTAACATAATTGCATTTTTCCAAGTAAGATAAACTCTCTAAAATTAAAAATTTCATAGAACATTTGAAGACAAATTCTTCTTTTTTCTTTTTCTGAATTTTTTTTTTCACTTTTAAAAATACAATTAGTTCAGTAAGGTATCACTTCACATGACTCAGAAAAGTCATCATCAAAAAATCTACAAACAGTAAGTGCTGGAGAGAGTATGGGAAAAAAGGAACCCTCCTACACTGTTGGGAATGTAAATTGGTGCAGGCACTATGGAGAACAGTATGGAGGTTCCTTAAAAAACTAAAATAAGTATGATCCAGCAATCCCACTCCTGGGCATATATATGGAGAAAAGCATACTTTGAAAAGATACATGCACCCCAGTATTCATTGCAGCACTATTTATAACAGCCAGGACATGGAAGCAGCCTAAATGTCCATCAGCAGAGGAATGGATAAAGAGGATATGGTACCTATATACAATGGAATATTATTCAGCTATAAAAAGGAACCAAACTGTGTCATTTGCAGAGACATGGATTGACTTATAGACTGTTATATAGTGTGAAGTAAGTCATAAAGAGAAAAACAAATAATGTGTATTAATGCATATATGTGGAATCTATAAAAATGGTATGTGCTGTGCTTAGTCATGTCTGACTCTTTGCAACCCCATGGATTGTAGCTTGCCAGGTTCCTATGTCCATGGAGATTCTCCAGGCAAGAATAATGGAGTGCGTTGCCATGCCCTCGTCCAGGGGATCTTCCCAACCCAGGGATCAAACCCAGAGTTCGAACCCAGGTCTCCCACGTTGCAGGCAGATTGTTTACCATCTGAGCCACCATGGAAGCCCAAGAATACTGGAGTGGGTAGTGTATCCCTTCTCCAGAGGATCTTCCCCACCCAGCCGAGCTACCAGGGAAGCCCAGAAAATGGTATAGACGATCCTATTTACAAAGCAGAAATAGAAATATAGATGGAGAGAGCAAACATATGGATACCAAGGTGGGGGGGGGGTGGAATGAATTAAGAGATTGGGGTTGACGTAAATACACTACTAAGTATTAAATGCATAACTAATGAGGAACCTACTCTACAGCAAAGTGAACCCCACTCGACGCTCTGTGGTGACCAAATGGGGAAGGAAATCCCAAAGAGAAGGGATGTATGTGTACATCTGGCTGGGTCACTTTGCTATGAAGCACAAACTGACATAGCAGTGTAGAGCAAATATGCCAACAAAAATGCAAAAAAAAAAACTACTTTGCATTACAGTAGAGCAGAAGTTACATTTGTAAAGTTCTACAAGGATGACTTGGATAATGTAAATGAGTGACACGATAGAGGTAAAGTGGATATACATACATTGTCTGTATGATAGAAGTTTGTTTTTGGGAAAACAATTCAACTCTAGCAGATTGTTGGCCTATTGGAAATCAGGGTTGTCATATATATATTTTTTTTTCTTAAGAGAAAACTAAATTTGAATGTGAAATTGGGCTTCCCTGGTGGCTTAGATGGTAAAGAATATGCCTGCAATGTAGGAGACTCAGGTTCTATCCCTGCATCGGGAAGATCCCCTGGAGAAGGGAATAACAACCTACTCCAATATTCTTGCCTAGAGAATCCAATGGACAGAGACTGAAGGGCTAGAGTCCACAGGGTCGCAAAGAGTCGGACACTACTGAGCAACTAACATCTTCAATTCTAAATAGACTAATTTTAATTATATAAAATTTATTAAAAAATTATATTGTGCTTACAAAAGCCAGAAGGGTCCACATTTTGAGGTTACATACTTTCCCAGGTAGAACTAGTGTTAAAGAATCTACCTCCAATGCAGGAGACATAACAGACAGGGTTCGATCCCTGGGTTGGTAAGATCCCCTGGAGAAGAGCATGACAACCCACTCTAGCAATCTTGCCAGAAGAATCCCTTGGACAGAGGAGCCTGGTGGGCCACAGTCCATTGACTTGCAGAGTCTGACATGACCAAAGTGACTTAGCATGCACACGTTTGTAATACATACAGTTTGGTTTGATACTAAGAAATAAGCTGGATAATATAATTATGCTCCTAATTATAAGCAGAATTTCTAGAGATTTAATAATTTAATAATATGAATATCATAAGAGAGTGCTCAAGAGATTTTACACAAGAAGAAACTGGTGTTGATCATTAAGTCTCCATGATGATAAAAGTTGGATTCACTCTATAAGAATGTGATTTGGTTAATGCTTACTCTTTCAACACACACACTCTCTGTTAAGTACTGCCATGACATCTTAATCTTTTGCCTCATCAATTAACCACGACCAGAGAATTTCTTTCTTTATTCCATAGTAGTGCTAGCTTGCTAAAGTACATTTTTTTTCTTTTTTGCAATTTGGAAACTGCATGTGACTGACTTATTCTATCTGTAGGTAGTAAAAGTACATGATATTATATTCCAGGCTGAGCCCACAAAATCCTTGAAAAGGAAAGCATTCAGAAGGAATTATTGCACAGCTAACAAGGAATTTCAGCCTTACAAAAATTCTAAGAGATATCTTCCAAGTAATACATTTTTTTCCTCACACTATATCAAACCTTGGATAAGTTTCTTTCTTTTATGCAACATAATAAATACTTCCTTAAAATACATGACCTGACCATCCTCTAATTTGTAGGAGTTTCATTTTTATAAACTGAGAAGTAAAGATTAGAAAATGACCCTCATAAAACATAAGCTAAAAACATGACACATGCATACAATTGATTACTCTAAAAATCTAAATAGTAAGAAAAAAGTTGGATTCACTCTATAAGAATGTGATTTGGTTAATGCTTACTCTTTCAACACACACACTCTCTGTTAAGTACTGCCATGACATCTTAATCTTTTGCCTCATCAATTAACCACGACCAGAGAATTTCTTTCTTTATTCCATAGTAGTGCTAGCTTGCTAAAGTACATTTTTTTTCTTTTTTGCAATTTGGAAACTGCATGTGACTGACTTATTCTATCTGTAGGTAGTAAAAGTACATGATATTATATTCCAGGCTGAGCCCACAAAATCCTTGAAAAGGAAAGCATTCAGAAGGAATTATTGCACAGCTAACAAGGAATTCCAGCCTTACAAAAATTCTAAGAGATATCTTCCAAGTAATACATTTTTTTTCTCACACTATATCAAACCTTGGATAAGTTTATTTCTTTTATGCAACATAATAAATACTTCCTTAAAATACGTGACCTGACCATCCTCTAATTTGTAGGAGTTTCATTTTTATAAACTGAGAAGTAAAGATTAGAAAATGACCCTCATAAAACATAAGCTAAAAACATGACACATGCATACAATTGATTACTCTAAAAATCTAAATAGTAAGGAAATAAATGGTTTAGAAATATTCTGTATAGTCAGCTCCATGTTTCTATCTTTTAAAAAAATGTTTCTCTTGCCCTCTTCTCTTCTGTTTCTTTTATCTTTTTCATTCTTCTTCTATGCAACACCTTATATCATTACTGTCCTTTTCTGTCACATTCTCATTATCTCTCCATCTCTTGGCTTCATTGTGTCTGCCTATAAACATGTGGAGGCATAGCTTTTAGGGGCAAAACAAAAACAAAATCCCCCTAAATCTTCCCTTGTCCCTGCTAGACTCATGGGCTTTTTGTGTTTTGCTTTTGCTCTCCAATTTTGTTTTTTTTTTTAAATTTTAACACGAGTGCTGCAACTATTTTATTAGAGCAGGACAGAGGAAGAGTGGAGCACACACTACTCAGAAAGCAAGTCCTGACTCTCCAGCTTAGAAAGAGCTGTGTGTTAGACGGCATCACTGATTCAGTGGACATGAACCTGGGCAAATTCCAGGAGACAGTGAGGGGCAAGCGGGCCTGGGGTGCTGCACTCCATGAGGTTACAACGAGATGGACATGGCTTGATGACTGAACCACAGCAGCAACAACCAGGCGAGTCACTTCACCTGTGAACCTGTGTTCTCTCCTATATGATAGAAGTACTGTTACTAACTGATTTGTGATGGTAAAATGAGAAACTGCATTTATAATTGACAATCGATTTGTGAGGCAGATCTTACTGAGAGTTCTTAGTATCTGTAAGCTCAACAGTTTTTCGTTGTTGTTGTTGTTTAGAGCTTTCATAAGAGATATAAAGACATGTTAATGTCACCACTTTTTATATTCCTAATATTAAACATAAAGGAGAAACATTAATTAAACATCATTTAAGTGATTGTAAAACCACTTTGAGGAGCTCTTTGTGTACTGAGAAGCTGCCTTGGGGAAAAGAGGAAGAGAAAGATAGCAGGCAGGACTTTCAGGTCTAGTATCAAGAAAACAATTCTTTTTTTGTAATATATATCCTATATCTTAGGAAGAACTTAGCCTAGAGCACAAAATAGAAGCCCCATTTTCTAAATCAAAAATAATAATAATAATAATAACAAAAACAAAAAAAGCTATCTTAGAGGCTTTGCCCTCTTTTCTGTCTCAGGTTTCACTGGTGGAGAACGGGTAGTGGTGGTATTAATTTGCAAGTTCCATAAAACATATGCATTACATTGGTAATAACACATGAAGTGATTTATTTAGAATGCTTAGGAGTCAACTAACATAACAGAGATTTAATAAAAATTACTTATTATACCTATGAAGACATTTTAAAACTTTTACCGACAAAACCCATCCAAACTTAGCCTATAAGTATAGCAAAAATATATCATAAAATGTAATTTGGGATAGTTATTAATAATAGTACAATTACTAACATGGTTCTAGCAACAGCAATAGAAAAATATAATAAATATCAGCTTAAATAAATATTAATTTTACTCCTTATAGTGAGGTTTCATTGCAAGTAGATATTTACATACTGGATCATCTGGATTATATTGAATAACATATTCTATCTGTCCATTTGGGCCATCATCTATGTCTGTAGCTCCATTGTCTCCTGAAAATCCTGTGAAGATTGTGGTGCCAACTGGAGTGAGCTGGAAAGAATACAAAAGACAAACTGTCAATTCTCATTTGATCAACAGCACACCAGAAATGTTCCAGCACAAAAAACACAATCATTAATCACACAAAGGAAAAAAGTAGGCAGCAGCCCACAAACACAGACTCAAAGTTTTTCAAAAGAATCCTTGGAAACGTTACTCAGGAGTTTCTACAAAGTCTGAAACTTTCCAACATCAGAGTCCTTGCTTTGCATAAAGAAACAGAAGCCCCTGATTAGTGTGAGGCACATTTGGACCAGTCTACAAAGATTAGCATCTTAAACTTGTGGAGAAAATGCATCTGTTGTTCCTACTTAAAAACACTTTGATGCATTAGATTATCTATAAGCTAGGATTTAAATTGTATGAAGGAATTATCAAAGTCACTTTATTTTAGCATTAAAAAAAAATCAGAGAGATCAATGAAAATCCAGGTTGGTAATTGCAGGCAGGATGCAAATTTGAGGAAGAAAGTTGGAGACTATGGATTCCTTGTCTGTCAGAGGAGAGAGAAAGCTGGGATTTTCTTTAGTGATTGTAGCACTGGTTGAGTAGAAAGCCATTCATTGTCTGATAGAACTGGAGAGATAGTAATATCTTTTCATCTTGAATTAAAACAGCAATGAAACATAACGTGTCATATAAAACCATGATTTCACAGTTGGCATGAATATCTAGCTTTATTTCTTATTAATCTCCATCAGAGAATCACCGTTGTTTTCTCTTACTTGTAAGTCTTTTCACAGTGTATTCCTACATGCAGAGTCTCCGGTTCTCAAGTTTTAGGTGGAATCCTTCTCAATAGTTATATTTCAACTTAATTAGGTATCATCTTCTTCTAAAACATTCCTGACATAGCATTCCCCTACCCCGTGTCAGTACATGGCAACTTTTTCATTACCCTTACATTTTACACTTTACTTTCTTAATTATTGCAGTGTCAGTGAATAAAAGAACTTAGTCAATAAACACAAGACCCGTGCCTCTACAGAAAATAGACTTTTACATTTTGTTCTGAGATATGTTTTGTTAGCTTTTAAATAGGATTTTTTCATGGAGAAATAGCTTCATAGAGGGAGAGGAAAGAAGCGTCATCTCATTTACTTCCGTTTTCAGGGGTTACAGACCTAGATACCTGTAGGGATCCATCAGGCAATGTCAAGAAGTGAAGCACATCTCATGGGAATATGGCGACTAAAGAACGCGTCCTTCTCTGAAAGGGTATCTGCTACTCGGCCTCAGGAAATTCTCATAATGGAATATGGAGCCTATGCTATTGGATTGGTCAAAAAGTTCATTCAGATTTTTCCAATGATGTTGTGGATGTTGTGGAAAAGACGTTGTAGAAAAACCCTAATGAATTTTATGGCCAACCCAATACTACATCTTTTAATATTCCAATTTTATAAGAAATCTCTTGGTTCTAGAGTTGACAATAGCTTTTAAAGAATTATATTATGAATTGAATGCCCCCCCACACCCCCAGTACATCCAGTGGCACAGCAACCACAGTAGTTTGCAATCTCTGATTTAGAAAAAGGATACAATTTCAATTAAAAGTGATTTTAAAACTCTGCTTTGGGGAGCCCATGGTTTGGGGAACTGTAAGTATGAAATAGTATATTTACAAAGTCAGTCCTCCAGGCAAGTAGCTTTTAAAGGTAAACTTTGACTTTCTGCAGCTCAAAGAGAGCTGAGGATAAAGTGAGAGGAGATGGTTCAAATAGCATATATATGAACACGGACACACCATTGGAAATAGTTAACTAAAAGGCTTCCAAGCCAACATTTTAATATTCTCAATGTAGTCCCTGTCCCCAAATATGTCACTTTTGTAAAAATTCACCCACTCTAATGTAGTTGTGCCTTGATTTCTCTTAAAAAAATTCACCCACTCTTAATATTTTTAATTATGAAAATTTAAAGTTGAATGGCAAAAATTTGCTTCTTGATATCTAATAAAACAGAATATTTAAAGATCTTTGTTGCCAAAGTAGATAACTGCCACACAGAGGAAAAAAAAAAAAAAAAACCCACCCACAAAAAAAAACACACAAAAAAGGAAAAAGCCAGAAAACTTGAAGAGTAGATGTCTGAAATTTTTGAAAATAGACTTCTGACCCAACTTTGGAAATGTGATATTTAGTTGTTGACTGCAAATGACTGAAGTAGTATGTCAAATTATTAGCTCAACATTTGCATAAGCTAGTGAGTTTTACTTCCTTCCATAGTTGCACATTTATACCAAACATATTAGCATAGATTGTACATTTTCATTACTGGAATATATTAACATCCACACACAGATATACACATGTAAAATGTAATGTTAAAATGTATCAGTAATTGAGCTACACACATTTATTCATGATCTACCACTCAGATATGGACCTGTTCAGATATAAGCTAGGGTTTGAAATGTTTAAAGCTAATATAAGAGAAACAGCTAGGTAAAAAAGAGGATAAACATTTTGTTTTAATATGGAAGGTCTGGCAAAAGTCAAAGGGCTCCAATGAAATGGACTATACTAGATGCAAACAAACAAAAGAGAGTTAAAGCATGCAATATGGAGAGAGAGAGATATATATATATATACATAAAATGAATAAGTATATTATAGAATACGTTAATATATATATCCCAACAAAAATATGTACATATCTATGTACATACATATATTAACATTATATAAATACACACATATTTCTAAATATTATGTGGGGAGTGAAAAATACATAAAATGAATAAGTATATTATAGAATGCATTAATATATATTTATCCCAACAAAAATATGTACATATCTATGTACATACATATATTAACATTATATAAATACACACATATTTCTAAATATTATGTGGGGAGTGAAAATCTTCACATGATAGGTTGTTTGTTAAAATGTATTTCTCTATACATCATTAAACAGAATTTTCAGGGCACATATGCCATACAGATGGTCATATTCCATGTCCTTTAACACTTCAACAGGTCTCAGAAATATAAATTTGGTTTTCTGAAGGGCATTCTATGCATGGGATGATTATCACCTTGGGCAGCTGCCTGAGGGTGTTACTTGTTTATTTAGTTTGTGTCTTTTTCCACAAATGATTTTATACAACTATTAGGAAAATACAAAAAATGCACAAATGCACATGTAATAATTAAAGAAAATAAAGCAAGAAAATTCAATATTTCATGAAGATGTGTCATAGAAATTTGAATGCAAAATGTGAGTAGTTAATTGTTCAATTATCTTGTAAGCCATTGCTGCTTGAGCCAACCTAAAAATCAGGAACAATGCTTCAAAAAGAAAAATTCTCTTACTAATCTCTCTTGCAATATTCCTCACTGAAGCATTGTATCCATGTTTTATATAAATATAGTTGATTCTCATCACCCATGGTAGTTCTATACTATAAAGCCACCATGAATACTGAATTAACAAATACTTAACCATTGCTTCTAGGGGGATTACAGGGTTATTACAATGCTGAGGGGAATACAGGATTAAGTTTTTGCAAGCCTCTGGTTACAACATTTTCCATCAACAAATCAATACATAACCTTGTTTTATGTGTGTTTCTATTTAAAAACACTTTATTTAATATGTTTGGTCTGTTCTAGAGTAGATGCTCTGTATTGCACTTTCCATTTTATTCACTGAATTACTCAGCTCCAGAATTTATTTGGTTCTGATGATTTCCATCTCTGCTAAATGTCTCATTTTATTCATATCTTGTTTTTCTGATTTCACTGAATTGTGTTTCTGTGTTTTCTTGTAGTTCATTTAGTTTTTTCAAAACCATTATTTTGAATTCTTTATCAGGTAAATTACCAAATTCCATACTTTGGTGTTTGATTACTACAGGATAATTGTTCTTTCGGGGATGACACGTTCTTTGATTGTTCACATTCCTTGGAGTTTTGCATTGGCTGCTTTTGCATTTAATGTAGCAGGGCATGCATGTGTGCTAAATCACTTCAGTCACGTCTCTGATTCTTTGTAACACTATGGACTATAGCCTGCCAGGCTCCATTGTCTGTAGGATTCGCCAGGTGAGGATACTGGAGTGGGTTGCCATGCCCTACGCATGGACTATAGCCCGTCAGGCTTCACTGTCTGTAGGATTCCCCAGGTGAGAATACTAGAGTGCGTTGCCGTGCCCTACTCCAGGGGATCTTCCCAATCCAGGGATTGAACCCACATCACACTTGTTGCTCTCTGGTGATTTAGTTACTAAGTCGTGTTCAACTCTTAGAACCCTATGGACTGTAGTCTGCCAGGCTCTTCTGTCCAGGGGGTTCTCCAGGCAAGAATACTGGAGTGGGTTGCCATTTCCTTCTCCAGGGAATCTTCCCAACCCAGGGATCAAACCCAGGCCTCCTGCATTGCAGACAGATTCTTTACTGACTGAGCTATGATGGAAGGCCCTGGAAGGCCCTGGTCTGGCTGAATTCTTAAGGCTGTCTTCTTTCTTTCTTTCTTTTTTTTTTTTTCTGGTTTTAAAAACACACTGGGTTGGCTTCTGGAAACTTTTCTTTTGTTTTCCAAAAGGTGGCACTGTAGTTAAACTTGTGGTTTCTCCTTTGCCCACAGTCCCTGGTCTGATTTTCTGAGAACATTCACTATTTATTCAAGTTCATTCTCAGCATCTCACTTGAGAATGTGCATAGGGTAGGGAATTTTGCAGGTTTAGCATTTGGAGTGTTGGGGATGACCACAGGCCATATGAAGAGATCCTTGTATGAGATTATCCAAGTAGCCTGTGGGCTGACTTCTAACTGAAGTTCTGAGCAAAGTCAGGAGGAACCTCATTCTTTTAATATCTTTTGATATTCTTATCTGTCTCCTTCCCAATCTCCTCCCTCCCCAGAGTCAGGGAGGTCCCCCTCAATAATCGGGCTGCCACTGTGTCTGACCCAGCTAGGTTGTCAGGCAGTCACTAACTGCTCTCCTTCCCTTTTTATACAATGTGAGCTTCCACCAGGCGA